TGGATGTGAAATACCTGAACGTATAAGAAGTCTGCATGTTGAGCTATATTTACGAATGATGTCCTTATACCGATGATAAAATTTAGTAAATGTTTTGACTAGTTTGTGATATCGAAAACCCTGGTGTAATAATTTTTCAGTAATACATAAATTTCTCTCGTTAAAATCTAAAACATTGTTACATACACGAGCGAATCGTACAAGTTGAGATATATAAACACCGTAAGATGGTGACAAGGGAACGTCACCATCTAAAAATGGATAATTAACGATAGGAAATGAAAAATCATCTCTTTTATCATATATTTTAGTATTAAGCTTTCCGTTAATGATATAGATATCAAGATCGAGGAAAGGGCAGTGGTCAGTGTTAGTATTAGCTTTATTTAAAGTAAGTTCAACAGGATAAATTTCTTTAGTATACATACTGAAGTCGTCATTATTGAGAGCCAAAATATCATCCAAATATCTAAAAGTTTTATTAAATTTGTGTATCAGATGTTGTTTCGAATGGTCTTTACTGATTTTTGTCATACATTGTAACTCATAGCAATACAAAAAAAGGTCCGCAATAAGTGGTGCACAGTTAGTCCCCATTGGAATTCCGATAACCTGACGATATACGGAATCTCCAAAGCGAACAAAAATGTTATCTAGTAAAAATTCAAGGGCATATATAGTATCAAAGCATATCCAATTGACATAGTTTTTTTGTTTATTGCTACTAAAAAATGACCTAAAAGAGTTTGAACATATATATTCACATTCTGACTTTTTAAATGCCCATTTAATTAGGTGTGTGAATTTTTTCTTAATGAGAATGTGAGGCAATGTGGTATATAGGGTAGAAAAATCAAAACTTTGAACAGATTCAAAATCACCAATATATGCATGCAATTTATCACAAGTACTTCCAACGAGTTCTTGACACTCCAAAAGTAATTAATTCCACTATTTTCGAAGGCCTTATTTGAACAATTTATTATCAGGTTTTTGATTGTACCAAGTGTACTGGTAAGAAGAATAGACAATTTAGTAGTGGAACAATGGCTTGAAGACGAAATGAATCTATATTTGTAAGGTGTTTTGTGTAGCTTCGGAAGCCAATACATAGTTGGGACTTTCATTGTATTTGGTTCTGCTTGTAAAGCGGTAGCTAAAAGTTTATGTTTGTTACAGATGTCGTTTTCTGAAAATGGAGTCAGTTGGAATGTTGGTGAATTGGTGATTTCTTTTTTCAGAACCTCAATGTAAAATTTACGTCAAACAATAATAATATTATTAGCAGCTTTATCGGCCGGGACAAAAACAAATTCCTTGGCTAGTTCTTTTAGTTTATGTTTGATACGAGAAATAGGTTTATTGTGGTTATTGTTAAGAGTAAAATGTTCTTTAAAATGTTGAATACGTATATCAACTATGTTCATTACTGATTTAAAAAAAGAGTCCAAAGATTTTTTGTCAGCTTTTTCCCGTTTTATCCATTTCAAACAGTAAGTATGGAGTGAGTCGTGGATGATATTACGACACTCATTCCAATTAATAATTGACGGGGGACGATATTTAGGTCCTTTACTGAGGAATGATTTTAACTCTCGGTCTTGAACGATGTTAAGATCTCCTGTTATAACATGGGAAATGGGTCCATAAATGTATTCGGAATTACTGCAATTACATGAAGTAGGTGTATTTTCACTGATATTAACATCTTTACACAATTGGCTATAATTAAACACAAATTTCCGGGTAGATTTCTTGTAAATATAACAAATAAGAGGGAGCTCAGTATTATCAAAATATCCCGGAATTTGTTCTTTAACAGAATGGTCGTTAAAAATACCGGCAATATTTACAAAATCAAAACCTTTATTGACATACTTTATTTTAATAAACTGTTTTTTATGATCTTCAGGGCGATCAATTTTGGGAAACAGTTTAGAATAACAATATGCCATTATAATTTGAACGATTTCATACTTAGGACTGCTATATGAAATTGTGTTGCAATCCTCTAAAATTTTATTTAACTTATTAAACGGTAATGAACAGAGCTTTGTTAACAGATAATGTCTGCCGTTGTTTTTTGAAATAGAAAATAGGTCCGAAATATTGGTATGATTGGTCCGAAATTTTCTTTGATTGCGATTTTTTCTACGACCATGAGAACGGTTTTTACGAACAGTTTTAGAAACTATATCCAAAATGTTAACAGAATCGGTTCTTGATATATTACCAATTCCCATGATATTATCATTAAGACCGAGAGGGTAGACTGTCTGTAAGTTTTTAATCCAATTTAATTCAATTATTTTCCGCGATCGTACAAACTTTGAATGAGATTCACCAGGCTGCTTATTTACTCATGTATGCACTTTTCCAAACAAAATATACCCCGAAAAAGTTTAAATGATATCAACTGACCTCATTTCTGAAGAATTTATGGTTTTGTATATGGATGTTAGACTGTTATTACTCATAATTCACTTAAACAGCAGTCAACATCGCACGCAACAAGCATCAAACAGTTCTAAATTGGCATTTGATAACTACTGAAATCACGTTAAGACATAGCTTTAGTATTCCATGTTCCCGTTTTTGATGTTTACCCGATAATTATGATTCACTTAAATAATATTTATATTCTAATACATCTTTTATAAAAGACAAAAACAAATTTAAATAAAATTATCCACTTAACAAAGCCTTAAATATTCCTACTGCTTCAATTAACGCATCGATAAATAACTTCTATTGTATTGTTTGTCAGAGCTGGTTTCATCTAAATGGCAGATTCTTTTAAGATAAGCTGTTCACATTCACATGAAATTCAATTTGACACAATTATTTAAAGGAAGAAAGATTGATATTAAATATAAACGTTGTTTTTTGTTTGATAAATCAAATTTGAAGGAGCAAAACTATTTTTGAAACAGATAATCACTTCAATTTAAAACGAAAGCAAGTTTATTTGTTCGGTCTGTTTTTGTTTTTTTTTTTTTTTTTTTTTTTTTTGGTTTTTGTTACATATTTTCACATCATTCTATATAGAAATCAATATGTTGGAAAAACTCTGAGCAATATTGGCTACAGTCGAAGTTTTATTAGTTGTTCATACTTACATGCATACATACTCACTGTGACTTTGCATACTTACATGCATACATACTCACTGTGACTTTGCATACTTGCATGCATACATACTCACTCTGACTTTGACATGAAGAACAGCACAAACGTTTTTACGGATTTTGCGTGTCGAGATTTTGTGTCACATGGTCATGAATTGTCCTTTTATTGGACAATGTAAATTCATTGCAGGATATATCTTGGGAATTTCATATGATCAGTTATGTTGTAAATCGTATGTTTACTCAAAAAAGTGAATTTCATTTTGTCTTAATCCTGTAGTATTCCAATGCGGTCAGTCAGTTTAATCGTCATTTTTCTCGATAAATACTGATTTTATCATTCTGACATTTATGCCTTTAGAACAGGTGTCCTTGTCTATAATTGGACAAAATATCCATCAAGTTAACAGTTATTTAACAATGCAGATTAAATCTATTTGTGTTAGAGCAATGTTATTTACAGAGATTTCGTCACTTAGTATGTTAAGATCATTAATTAAAATCAATTTTAGTGCATTTATATAAATTGACGGAAAAGCCAGAGACATATACGGTACTATATGCGTCTCTGGAACAGCTTTAAGACTGGTCAAGAAATAAGTTTTGGATTATAATTTTTTTTGTTTTCGATGCACAGTATTTTATGTTTTACGACTACATATACAAAAAAAACTCTCATGCTACTGTCTAAATCTAAAACAATCAAAGGTAAAATATTAATATAAAACCTGGGACTAATAGATAAATGTATTGTGTAACTTATAATATTATCCACTGTAATAAAACGTACAAAACATTTAACAATTAAAACACATACATTTAAATAAATGAGTTTTATGCCTCTGTTATTTTGTTTTTAAACTTGTGAGGATTAAAGCCTTTCACGGTGTAATCAATCCATCACCGGCATCGTTTTACGGATTACCACCTTTCTACCACTTTCAAACTATTTTCTAGATAAAAAGTTGGCACTTTTTAAATAATTTACATTACATGCATTAAATTTCTGCGGGACAATGCAATATCTGATAAAATATTCGGATCATGTGAAATAATTGTAGTGCTACCTTTTATGATTATCTGCAGTGCATGTAGTATATTATAATTGCAAACAAATATGACACTGCTAGCATCTGTTAAAATAACTATTATTTTTCTGATTTCAATGCAACTTTTCAAAACATACCCAGTGTATCATTTTTAAAAGGTATTCATGTACAATGTATGAGTCAGTCGAAAATTACATAATCATTTACAAATTATTTCTTTAGATAATGTACATTATAAAATCATTGTAATTAATTAGTATAATTATACCAATCAAAAGCTTTCCTATAACATTTGACTGTGGTATTGTCGCTAATATCATCGTTGATCTTTTAATAAAACATCAATTGTTTAAAGATGAGGGCTGTTAATTTACAATCGTCGCCGGTTTCCACGAGGGTCTAACAGGAGATCAAAATTGACATGTCTTCTTACTGTTAGGTTTCCACCCTTTTTGTCAGGAATCGTTCTCTTCTGTCTAACATACGAAGCAATAATCAAATAAACATATTTGGAAATCTCTTTCTTTATAATTCCCTTGTCAATCCAAAATCTAGCATAATGGGAATTACTCTACCCCTGTCAACCCATCATTAATCGTAAATATCAATTTGATGTTCGTTTCATGAAATTGACACGCACTTGTGGTGACGAAATTAATCGCTCGCTTAATGCCAATTATTGATATAAGAGACCCACGTCCCATTGTTCATAATCGTGTTATTAGTGGTAATTTCTCTGGCATTAAAATTTCTGGATTTGGTCCATTCTTTGAAGTATATATAAATAACCATGTAATTTTCATTTATTAAATCATATTCCGTTCGACAGTAACAAGTTGGTTTGTCGCTATGAAAGTTCATTCTGTAACTGGTAGGTTTGTTTATTTCACTTCTTATTGTCACTTACAAAACATATTATGTTTAAAGAAACTATTATTATTGAATAACACAATTATTAAATAAGTCTCAAACAGTTTAAAAGAATAAGACTAAACATGTTTGACTGTGTATGATATTAGTTTTTTTTTTATAAAAGTGTTTCGAGATCAGTATTCAAATTTTGTGTGTAGAACCAAGGAATTGTATATTTAGATGCACAACTCCTTGATAGAACTACCACTCAAAAATTCCATTTCAATTTACGAATTGATAAAAAACATTTCAATAAATATATTTACTTGTGTCCCAAAGTTTTCACAAAATTATTTGTTTTTCTAATTTACTATACAAACTATTTGTTTATTTACTTTTTATATTTACACCTAGGTGTGCTATCTGATATGAAATATTTCCATCACCTTGATGATACAAAGAAACCCCGTCACAGGTATGATATTACTTTGCATTTTGCATGTTTATTTATAAGGTAAATGTTAGTTTGTGTAGTTTATGTAGACTCATCGAAACAGCAGTAGATATATGTACTTTTATGAATACCTGCTGATATTTAGTTGATATATTCATATATTTAGCTTTAGAATGCAAAAGGGACGCGCACACAAGTTTTGTTAACAGCTTTTCTTATAATAATTTGCATTCATGTGGGAAAAGAATGTTTGATCTTCACGAATATCCAGAACAATATCCAATCTCTAAATTATGTTTTCATTATTTATTTCTCGTGTTAAATAGTTTTGTAATTACATACAATAAATTGCTACTGATGGAGATGACCGGATCACAACCCTTTGATAACACGTGTAATAATTGGATTAATAATTTTTGAAGTACCTTTTACCATTGAATGAATGAATGATTTTATTCTCATAAACTAGTACATAGCTACAGAGAAAATAACAGTCCATATATAATACATATTTTGTTTCGCATGTGTGAAAATAAATAACAATATAATAATATTACAGTTCCTCTAACCAGGAGGACAGACTTTCACTGATATGTATCGTATAAATCTACACAATTTTTCTAGTTCAACAGCATTTTCAGATGAGAATATATGATTAAATTTAATAATGTTAGCATTTTTGTTACAATAATGTGGTAAATATTTTTCTCTTTCTATGTTGAAAAAATTGCATGACATTATGTAATGAAATTCATCGCCAATATCTGTAGAGCTGCAGAGGTGACAAGACCTTTCCGATCTCGGAATAGTTTGCCACCTTCCCGTCTCCACTGGCAAACGATGATTTCCGCATCTAAATTTACACAAAGTATATAAAAAATTAAAAGGCAAAGTTGATAAATACTTTTCAAATTTAAATTCGGTCTTGTAAATTCTATAACATAAACTTTTCGAGGATTGATGTAAATCTGCAAACCAGTCTTGTCGAAATTGGTCTTTTAGCTTTTGCTCAATACTTAATTTTATCCATTTTTTGTTAAAATAATCTTGGCAATGCCATACATTTGACATGCCACATTCATCAAATATTTTCTTAATAAATAGCATCCATTTATTTCCAATACCATAATTGTTACAATTAATGTATAATAGTTTATAAAGTATACAGGATAATTTATCTTCATTTGTATTATCAAGAAGGCGACACCAAAAGTTGATCATTCGTAGTTTAGCATATAAAGAATTAGTACCTTTACAGGACAGGTGATTTAAGCATTTATAATTTGGTATTTAAAATTGATAGGTAACAAAAAAGTGACGATAAATTCAAGACATGCGATAGGTTCAACATTAAAATAGAAAAAATAGCCTCCATAAGTAGTGACAGGCATATCTTAAAAAGGGGCATTAGCTACGAGATATGAAAAAATTAGAATATGATTTAGTTTGGTTCAATCATTAATGGAAGTGAAATAATGAAATAATGATTCGCTTTTAGCAGCCAATTTGGTTCAATTTTGTCAAAATAAGCAGAGAAACATCGCTGATGAATTATTCATTTGCAAGTGAATAATTCGACCTCATTGAATCCGTAGGTGTAGGCGTAATTTCATCCCACCATGTATTTATTCCGGGTAACTGAGTTTCACTGGAGAATATTGAATGTAAATAGTGTGGAAGCGTCGATCTTGATATCGTTGTTTTGTTTTATATTAGACCGATTTATTGTTCACGCATATAAATTAGTTAGAAATATAGTCTATGGAGGAATATTCGGAAGCTAAATTATTGTTCATTCGGAACACCTATTCATCTTATCTGTATTAGCTTCCTGCAATTAAGAGCACCTCCATACGGGGTATCTAAGATATTTAAAACATGACAATAAAGAATTTTCACAGATCGCTAATTCACTTATCTGATATATGATAATAAACAATCTATAGATCCTTTTTTAAACATGTATATTTATTGTAAAGCTACATTTTATGCATTGCAAGGGTTTACTGACTTGAGCAAAGTTGACAGTTGTACCCTTTGATAAACAAGTGAAAGATAAATGTTCAAGATTTAATTATAACGACCTATGCATATGGTATCAAACATCTGTGTCTAGATATTCACAGAGAGATATTTTAAAATAGTGCTGTGGCTTCTACATAATGAGTTATAGTTGGCTTTGGGATTTGATTTGTAACAATAAAATCATTATGCATACTTGTCATTTTGACAAATCAGATAAAAAAAATCTGTTTCAAATGAATATAAAACAAGTAAAATATTAAAAGACTATTCGTTAATATTCATTTTTTACAACTTTTACTGTTTTCTTTTTACAGTATTCTCTATCAATTAAGTTATCTTGTAAGCTAACTAAATGTTTATTTAATTCATTGATGTCACTATTATTTCTTTTATTCACACACTGTAAATTAATACTCTTTAATTTATGTGTGTTTTGGATGTGCACTAGTGATTGGTAAACATTGATACGTTTCTGTGTTTTTGATATACCATGTACACGTGACATAACATCAAGAATTCCATTATTATGGAATCGATCACCTTTGTACACTTCGGTATCTAAATAGAGAGTGGTAAAAAAAATGGGGATCTGAACACGGAAACACGTGAAATAACAAATCGCAAAAACGTTGCACGTAAAAAAACACTCTGGAAAAACGAAGCCAAGGAATTAAATCGTAAATATTAAGGAAAAAATTACCAAAAGTTATTACTCAGCCGTTCTTGGAGATCATGCAGTCATTATAAATTGACATGGCGACCCTGCATGTGGTCACTTTTAGCGTCCTCTAGTTGCATAAGATTTATCATAGTAATACAATAGGCTATTAATAAATATCTTGGGAACAGTTAATTAGTTAGTAATTTAAAACAATATCTGGGCTGACTTTGAATTAGTCCCGGTTTACTTTTTAATCTAATGCGGGACAAGCACGAGAAAATAAGAGTACCGACACGAAACACGGAAAATAATTAAGGGAAAACACGAAGCACGCACGTCGAACCAAGCACGAGAAAACGAAAAATAAAACGTCGAAACACGAAATCACGTGAAATAAAAAGGCCGAAAACGTTGCACGAAAATAACCCTTTACCACCCTCTAAATAGGTCTTACTAGATGTCGACACCTCATATTAGAACTAAAGTAGATGGTCAATTTCGTTTGCTAGGTTAAAGAAATCTTCAACTTGCTCTAATTTGCCTGTGAAGACCATAAAACCGTCATCCCTATTGACAGTGTAATTTGATGTTTTCTCTCCTTTGGAACTTATCTAAGATTTTAATGAATAGGACAGACATGCAGATGCAGATCTGTTCATGTTGGTGAAAATATACCACCCATGGGCGCTCCTATAATGTGTTTGTATAACAGTCCATTAAACTCAAATTCATTGTTTCTAAGAATTAATTTAACAAATGCAGTTAAATCTATTTTGTTAAGAATCTTTAAAGTATATTCTCCTGTGTGGCAATTAGTTCTAATGCATTGATAACAGATTCTTCTAAATTATCAATGATCATATTTGTGTACCTTGACGTACATCATAGGCAATAAGAATGCATTCTTTTTTGACCTCGTGTGACTCTATTTTATTGATGGAATCTTTTTATCTTGAATGTAAAAGTTATGCCTCTTCAATATTGGTTTTATAATTAGATCAAGTAAGTATATCTCTCGCGGGAGAGTTGCATTTATTGATGATTGGTCGGTAACGAACATTAATGTGTCCTGCTAGCTGACCAGTTCGCAATGCCTCATTACTTATTTCTAGATTAATTTTATGAATTTTTGGAAGAAGGTACATGTGTTCCCCATGTTTTGAATTATTATTATTCTTTAAGAAATTATACGTCTGGGAATCTATTTTTTTTCCTCATTGCTTTATATTTAACACTTCTCTCAACATGCCAAAATTGTAATGATTTACAATAAAAAGAAAATATTATCTTCCACACACATGACCATGCAAACATTGATATATAATTTCTTATTCAGTTGAATTAATAATTAGAATAAAAAAGTTCTAAGGTTCACGTATTGTCTTTTCTTTTTTAAAGCAACTTGTTTACATATATTAATGGGTTAAAATTAGAATAATTTTCAAAGAACCAGTTTAATTAATCTGAATCAATCTAGCGTTTTATGATATAGTATTAAAAGTCGTACAACATAAAATATAATTTGACAGGGTTTTCGCACTAACTTCCGAAATGGATGAGAAGGAATATGAAACAATTCTCTAGTACTTAAAAGTGCAAAAATATCCTGAAGATTCAAGTGAAAATGAAAAAGGAAGAATAAGAGCAAAAAAGGACGTATTGTAATCAAAACACACGATGGAATGGATGCACCAGTGTAATCATTCCTGGTTCAAAAACACTAGTGTGAACATTCCTTGGATGAAAAACACTAGTTGACTTTGTCCTTTTTTTACATAAATCAACTATGCAAGTTTTAGTTAATTCAAATACCCCCCAAAAATACCAAACCCCATTTTTTTTTTATATATTACCCCTTCAAAAACCCTCTTTAGAATCTTATGATGAGTGGTGGATATTTTACACTGGACCCGGATTAAAAAACCTAGTGATTTTTTGTTGGTGGATAAAAAAAACACTAGGAATTTTCATCCTCCGGATAAAGTACACTGGCGGAATCAAACCACTGTTACAACCGTCGGCAGTCTTCGGAGGTCATCTCGATAGTTAATTAGATGGCGTCTAGACTAAAAAACACATGAAATTCTGATAAATATTATCGAGTACATGCATTGTTAACTGTTTTTTCAGACTTATTATAATTTGGAAATACGTTTTATGTTATAAATCAAATATGAGAATTTGAGTCAAATCGGTGAACACGATTTTGACAGCTAGTGCCCCTTTAACTAAATTGTACGCTACGAACTTCCAAGACCCAGGTTTGCAACATATTTTTGAAACAAAACAAAGAACATCTTATAAACAAAAAACTGTCAATCTTCAGGATATGTTTATCTTACTGTAACTTATAAAATATTCTTGTGAAAAAAAACACTTGTTATCCATTGTTATGTTTCAGAATGAAATGTTCTCCTTTCTAATTGTTCTGTTTCAAAACTACATTTTCTCCATTCCAAATGTTATGTTTCAGAACTACATTTTCTCCATTCCAAATGTTATGTTTCAGAACTTCATTTTCTCCATTCCAATTGTTATGTTTCAGAACTACATTTTCTCCATTCCAATTAAAAGAAATGGAAAAGTCTTTCCGGAAAGCTCCATATCCCGATGTTGTAACAAGAGATGAACTAGCAAAGAAATTAAATCTCGCAGAATCACGTGTTCAGGTAGGTATTCAGATAACCCTTTTTACCGCTGTTTCAAACGACGCATAGATGGATAAGGTACATACAATTTAGAAATTAATTAATTTGATTCTCTGATATAAGGCTGGTGTTCATAGAAGGCTCACAAACAATAGTATTTTAACCGGATAAATGAAAAAATTGTTGAAGCTAATAATTAAGGCAAATTATGTGTACAGGGTTTACAAACAAAAATTACACGCCTAGGAAAATTATATGTCCATCTTTATTATTAGCCATTTAAACTAATATCAAATACCTTTATGTTTGTACCGGTATATGAAAGAGGACGAAGTCAATATTACAATGCAGTAGATTTTTAAAATAATACCTTTTTTTAATTGACAAAATGAATTAATTTTCATCAAAGTGTTCTTATTATTAGATGGTAAAATGAAATAACACATAAAATCATTAACAAAAATAATGAGTTTCATGCACAGAAGGAAATACCTCATTTCATTGCCCTCTTGGTTATAACATAATTGATTAACAAATTACTTTCGATTTGTATGTAGCAACATTTTAACAGCGCCTGCATACTGAGTATAAATAAGTACTCTATTCCAGGACTTGTGTTTACTATCACGATTTCTATGATAAAGGATTTCTTCTTACCAAGGGTTCCAAAGTGTCAAGTTGAAGTAATTTCTTCGAAAATTTTACGGACGCCATTTAATTTATTGATCGTTTTGGAATATCTGCCAAAGAGGATCACGTATATGTTTCACTTGTCGTTGAGACAATGATGTCCTCTTTTATTCGAATGTGACAGTACCGACGGTGCGGCTAATCACCGAACTTTGACCTTGAACGAATCTCACGACGGATGTCAATCGTATAGCAGTAGCTACTTAACCTTAGGGCCGTAACTAGCCTCTTATAAAAGTGAGGCAAATATATTCTGCAAGGGGTCTGGGGGCAGCTCAAAATCGTGCATTCTGAGCGATTCTCGGACCCTTTCTTAATCTGAATCGCAAGTTTTGTTATAATTATTTTTCGGCAATATTCTGGTCTCAAAGCAAAATATATAGATTCAGTGTAAGACTTTTAGTTTTTAGGGACAACATCAAAAGACCGATATGTAGCATAAAGCAAAACTCGTAATTATCTTAGTTAAGTGTGTGGCTGCTGTTTTTAGTTTTTTTTCTGCTTGCAGAAAAAAACGTATTATATACCTTTCAAATAAAGTTAAGAGGGGGCTGAATATCATTGATATACCTATGTGAATTCAGTTTTTATAACACATTTCAATTACAATTTGATGTAGTTCCTAACTGGGATAAAAGGTACACTCAGGGAAACTGTTCTTAGACCTCATTGCTACATTTTTGTGCTGTTTTATTATGTATACCGGCTGATTAATGTCGGATTTGTCTGTTATGGTCTTGTATTGTGTTAAGACTTTGGTGTAATGTTTTTGTCACTTTGAAATGTATTCACAGTACAATGCTTTAAGTACCGCTTTAGTCGACGCTAGGCCGTCTTGACCTTGTTGTAGGGTATGAATAATTCGTTCATTGTTGAAGACACTCCAGTGATTGCCAAGATGAAGAGCAGGAATAAAAGCCCTGTTCATTGATAATTTGTATTTTTTTCTATGTATTGTGTGCGATTTTGTCTCATGCACGTGTACTCCATATCCCTTTATTTTCTATTAAAGGGCCTGAACACGGCTTAATGCAAGTTTAGCCCTTCAATGTAAAAGGTCATATGACAATACATTATTTTTCTTTTTAAATGATTTTTTTACGGGAGATTGGTTGTCTCACTTTAATTTAACCCATGTCAGCTTTTTAGTTTTATTTACAGAAAAACAGTTTTGTATTCTTTAATATAAAGTTTGATTTTCCATGAAAAACGACCAATTTTTCTATGTCCGGTAGTATCGTATCTTCTGAAAACATTTTCTTGAACAATATTTGGACATTGGTGGACATGTAACTTTGCCAAACCACACAACCGTTCACCCGTCGTCGTAGATCTTTCCTTAGGCTTAAGTCTTTAACCAATTTTCCAATGACATATTTTTAGGCCTGCGCAAGCCCCGATAATCGTTGGCTTTTCTACACTGTGAATAGGCTTGGGGCTATTGACTGTGTAAATTTGGACATTGTTAGCCATATATTGCAACAACTTTTATTAAAAATCAATATCATCAACACTATAATCTGCCATATACAATTATCAAAGGCATATTAGACAACTGAAGCGTTAGTCATAAAGATTGATTGATTGATTGATTGATTGATGTTCGCTTAACGCCGCCTAAAAACAAAAAGGTGAGAGCTAATTTCAAATATTTTTACAATTTATAGTAGTTTTTAAAATTAGACAAAAGGTCTTTAAATATAATAAAACTCAAGTTTAAAACAAAATTACTAATTTACAAATGAAATTCAACACTAAGACAATAGTCATAAAGAAGGGCAATCAATGAACAAAAGACAAACCGGGAACAGATACTAACAAAAGACAATCAACACTGAAAACAACTAAAAATAAATAAAAAACATGGATCCCGAAAAAACAGGGGCGACGTCAGAAGGTGAACAGAACTTGCTTCTTGCAACACACTCGCCATGAAAACAATTTGATATGAAGACAAGCTTTTGTTTCAACTTATTTCCAACATATAGTTTTACGTGTAAAGTGGTATTATGATGCATAAAAAGGATAACAAATCCGAGAAGGCAATATGAAAATCGATGTACGGTTTAAATGGCGATAAGACAGTTGTGAAGAACTATTCATCTACTGCGTGCCTCACAAAAAAGGGACAGAGAATAATACCATGTTTTTAACTATCAAAGACTTTTTAATTTTAATTCAAACAAACAGTATTTTTAAGTAAGCAACATTATATGAGAACAAAAAAAAAAGACGAAAACGACAAGACTACAAGCTGATGTTGCTCTTTTCAGAAAAAAAATCTTAAGAGAAAAACCTATACGTCATTACATCTCATAATAACTTACGATCAATGTGATTATAATAACCCTAGCATCTGTAGAGAAAAGGCAACCAGTTTTGAACACGTATAAAAAGCAGTATGATGTTTGTGGCGAGGTTATTAAAAAGCCCATTGTCACAGTCAGTGTTTGATTCATGTAGAGTGACAAATTTCTTACAAAAAACAGAAGTCTATATTTCTCAAAGCAAGGGAGAAAAAAGATCACTTTAATTGTACTAAATTGTTCACTAAGAAAAAAAAATGAACGACTTTTTATCTTCATTCTTTCGCAAAGTATGTTTTTCCTGAGAGGCACATTTTATTGCATTATTTTTTACTAAACATATAAATCAGTTTTTGTACAGGGTTACCCATATTATTTAAGGATTGTTTTTAATATAGAATGCCACACCTCTTTATCAGGTTAGCTTACGTTTGACCTTGTGTAAAAACATGTTTAATCTTTTGATTATTCAATCATAATTTCCCTTTTATAAATAATAAACTATTTATCATATTTTTCTTGACCCGCTTCCCATCCATAGGAACTTTTTAGGTTATTCAATGCTACAAGAGAGCAGACCCGCTTCCCATCCATAGGAACTTTTTATGCTATTCAATGCTACAAGAGAGCAGACCCGCTTCCCATCCATTGGAACTCTTTAGGCTATTCAATGCTACAAGAGAGAAGACCCGCTTCCCATCCATAGGAACTTTTTAGGCTATTCAATGCAACAAGAGAGCAGACGCGCTTCCCATTCAATGGAACTTTTAGGCTATTAAATGCCATAAATGATCGGACCCGCTTTTCTCAATAGCAACTTTTTATGCTATTTAATGCCAAAAGTGATCGTACCCGCTTTCCTCCAAATGAACTTTTAAAGTCATTTAATGCCACAAGTGATCGTACCCGCTTTCATCCATAGGAACTTTTTAGGCTATTCAATGCCACAAGTGAACGGACCCGCTTTTCTCCATAGGAACTTTTTAGGCTATTTAATGCCACATCTGATCGGACACGCTTTCCTCCATAGGAACTTTTTAGGCTGTTTATTAGCGGAATAATATCATGTTATACATATTTCCCACATTTTACACAACATATCATGATTTAATGGTATAGGTTATTGTTAGCAGTATTCAGGTTTACATGCATGAATTGTAGTCTTTTGATAGCTGTTTCATTGACATTTCATCGTTGGCTTGTTAGATAGTTGTTTCATTGACATTTCATCGTTGGCTTGTTTGATAGCTGTTTCATTGACATTTCATTTACATTTCATTGTTGGCTTGTTAGATAGTTGTTTCATTGACATTTCATCGTTGTCTTGTTTGATAGCTGTTTCATTGGCATTTCATCGTTGTCTTGTTTGATAGCTGTTTCATTGGCATTTCATCGTTGGCTTGTTTGATAGCTGTTTCATTGACATTTCATCGTTGGCTTGTTTGATAGCTGTTTCATTGACATTTCATCGTTGGCTTGTTTGATAGTGTATAATTTACATTTCATCGTTGGCGTGTTTGATAGTTGTTTCATTGACATTTCATCGTCGTCTTGTTTGACAGCTGTGTCTCTGACATTTCATTGTTGGTTTGGTCGATAGCTATTTCATTGACATTTCATCGTTGGCTTGTTTGATAGTGTGTCATTTACATGTCATCGTTGTCTTGTTTGATAGCTGTTTCATTGACATTTCATCGTTGGCTTGTTTGAAAGTGTGTCATTTACATGTCATCGTTGTCTTGTTTGATAGCTGTTTCATTGACATTTCATCGTTGGCTTGTTTGATAGTGTGTCATTTACATGTCATCGTTGTCTTGTTTGATAGATGTTTCATTGACATTTCATCGTTGGCTTGTTTGATAGTGTGTCATTTACATGTCATCGTTGTCTTGTTTGATAGATGTTTCATTGACATTTCATTGTTGGCTTGTTTGATAGTGTGTCATTTACATGTCATCGTTGTCTTGTTTGATAGCTGTTTCATTGACATTTCATCGTTGGCTTGTTTGATAGCTGTTTCATTCTTTTCATCGTGTCTCGTTATTTGATATGAACTATCATACAGACATAACTACTAAGCTACGACATTAAAGTTACTAAAAAAATACTCCTTTCGACATAACCATTGTAACAGATGTCGGTGACTGAAATGTAAACACTTTTTCGTCATTGTAGATTTGGTTTCAGAATAGACGGGCAAAATGGAGAAAAGGTATAACTCCACGTGTTGAAATAAACCAGGATGGTAGGTTCTTTAAGAAAACATCATAAACAGTCTTTCTTATATACATTCCTCTAAAAAGCGAATACATACACGGAAGTATGTTTGAATTTTGTTAATTTCAAACGAGCTTATATAAAATGTTAGAATAAGAAATGTACTTTGAATTGCATGATTCTGCAAAAATTCATGTAAATCAGGAATCAAATTCCTTTCCCTGTGTAATTATATTGGTTAAAAGGAACCGGTTAAGAATAATCACACATAATAAAAACTGAGGTTTTGTCTTTAACTGTGATATATATTTATTCCTTTTGATAAAAAAACAAAAATGTCCAAAAAGATTGATTTTCCATCAAATACCTTAAGTTTAAAACTCCAGACACGAAGTTCGAAAGTCGGCATCTGAATTTTAGAAACGAAATTTGAAATTCAATATCTACATTTGGAATTCAATATACAAAATAACCAACTAGAGGAAATAATTTTGCAATGAACTATAACGTAACTGAAAATTGTTACTTACTTACTTAATTCTCTTCATGTTCTTGAACACATAAGGCATCAACAGAAAATTGTTAATACGTATATATTTGCAAATGTTTTTTTTATTATAGACATTCAGAGTTTACAAGATGATTCAAGGAAACCTAATGTAGAACCAACAGAAAGTGACTTAGTTCAAGAGTTCCCCAGACCTGAATGGAATCCATGGGGATTTCTCGGAAACTATGCATTCCTGTCCCAGCCTTGGTATGGGAGATACGCTGATTATGAATTAGCACATCGTAATTCGTTCCATCAGAACTATAACATTTCCAAGGACTATGCATCATGCTACTCTCCCATGAACCTTGTCAAAACTAATGATTCATCAGCTCATTTGGAGAATGAATCATCAGAAATAACAAAACCTGGAGCCATATAAATTATCTAGATAATCGTGGCAATAACTATTTATTATCATATTTATTAAATTACAATCCTGGTATTTGAAATATATATTTTGTATAAATTCTTAAATGAGTTAAACAACGTATTTACTATGTAAAATACTTATTTATTTTTATATATAATTTGCTTTTACGTTACAAAACGAGAGTGAATAAATACCAGATTACATCATGAAATAGTTATACATAACAAATGTCATTGACTGTATTGATTTTTTTAACTTTTTAAATGGTTTAAAGTATGTTCTTTTTACAAATTTAACAACGAGATTGATTATTCTTTATGCAACATAATAAGGAACTCATGAAAACGTCGGAACAACGTATGGTCACAGAGATCTACGGTTTTCATCTTTGGCCTCCTTAGTAATAAATAGATATTTATTTAACAATATACTAAATCAAAACAATTTCCCCTACATTTGTGCTTCTATGACAAGATCTTCAAGTTGTCAAATCCTGGTAATTAAATATTTAAAAGAGAGGCGAAAAATACCGAAGGTTAATTCAAATTCATAAGACAAAAATAAACTGACAACGCCATGGCAAAAAAAAAGAAAAGGACCAAACTACAAACAATAGCATACAAAATACAACATAGAAAACTAAAGACTGAGCAACACAAACCCGAACAAACATTGGGTGTGATCTCAGGTGCTCCGGAAGGGTAAGCAGATCCTGCTGCACATCTGGCATCCGTCGTGTCGCTCATGTAAGTACAAATCCGGTGATAAGTCTAATTCGGTAGGTCACCTTGGGGAGGATGAGATTGTTTTTACGAGAATTGGAACATATCCGTCTGGACGTCATCATCAGTGAAACAGATATTCCATAACGGTCAACCAACTCGTGATGGCGTCCGTAAAATTTTCGAAGGGATTATTAAAACTTCATCACTTGGAACACTTGGTTTAATAGCTTCCTTGTGAGCAACCCTCTATCAAGGAAACGTGATATGAAATACAAGTCCTGGAATATCGTATCAACTTGGAGATATATACTCCATATGCAGGCGCTGCTGGAATATTGCTACATAGAAATAAAAAGTTCATAATTGGGAAGCTCAAATCATCTCTTTTGTCGTAAAGTTAGTTTTCAACTGACCCCCATTGTCAGTTTCTAGATGTAAGTCAAGGTATATGACAGACCTAACTGTATTTGTTGTATCCTTAAGCTTTATTTCAAGTTCGATGGGATAGATGCGTTCAACATATAGTCACCAAACTTTGAATTATTTAGTGAGAGGAAATCATCTATAGAGCGGAAAGTGAAGTCAAAGGATAATGCCAGCTTCTTTGCATTCTTCCTTAGAAGGTTCTGTATGAAGTCAGCCCCGTGTGAATAAAGGAACAAGTCAGCAAGAAGAGGTGCACATGGGAATACCGATTGTTTACCGTCCTCAAAACGTAACAAATATGTTGTCAATCAAGGAATCAAGCATCTTAATAATGTCAGTTTTAGAGAATTTTTCTTTTATATCAGAGTGATTTTCTTTTTACAAAGTACGATTTATCCCTCCCTAAGACAAGATACGTTTATCTACATGTACGTTGGCCATTCTTTTTTATGAAAGAAAGCAGAACCAACTATTTTAGTCTTTTAGTTTGGAATGGGGAATACTTGTGTAAAGAGTAGAAAAGTCAAATGTTTTGATACTATTTCATGGTGAAAGAGTCTTAGATTGTATGTACTCTAAAGCTCTTTGGTTTTAATACTATAATTGATAGTCTATTTAATATACTTGAGACATTTTTTCAATAATTCTACATATTTCCACAAAATCTTAATGTTCTTCATTTTATTACAAAGTTGCATATTTTACAAGTCTTTTTAAATTTTGCATCGAAGAATGTTCTAACCAAAATTAATTGATTTGTATTCGACAGGAAATATACAACTGCATTTCCAAATATTATATTGGTGTTAGTTAACAGCTGTACTTCTAACATAATGTAACTGGTGAGGTATCAGTTACACTTATATGAAAATAAGAAGATGAGGTATGGTTGACAATGAGACAACTCTCCACCAGACACAAAATGACATGGAAGTTTACAACTATATGTCACCGTACGGACTTCAACAATGAGCAAAACCCATACCGCAAAGTCAGCTATAAAAGGCCAAGGTAAAACAATTCAGAAGAGAAAACTAACGGCCTGATTTATGTACAAAACAATGAAAGAAAACAAATATGATATACAGCAATAAACTACAATCACTGAATAACAGGTTCCTGACTTGGGACAGGCACATACGGAATGTGGCGGGGTTAAACTAGTTTGTTAGCGCCAAACCCTCCCCCTAACCTTGGATAGTGGTGTAACAGTACAACATTAGAACAACTATAAAGTCAGTTGAAAAGGGCTTAACTCATCAGTTAGATACAAAGCAGAAAACATCTAACAAAAACACAAACCGGACGTGGCAGGGTATTTATACATCCCAAAAACAAAAAAGACAATAAGTACAGATCTGAGAGTACTCGCAGTTACTGACAGCTAGTTCAAAGCCAACAACAACTAATAAAAAAATCAGGCATCTAAGAGTAAAATATCTATCAGTAAACATCCAACATCCAATGGATTTATTGTAACGATGTCATTAACAGTCAGAGAAAAACGTAATACAAGATACAGGTATCGTCAGATTGTAGAGCCATGAATGTGCATATGTATGTAAACATAATTTTTAGTTTACTGATAACAAATCCATATTTATACAAAAAAAAAACAATATTCAAAGATCTAATTACAGTGTTGAATTGGTAGGTAACCTTTTAGAACAAGTTTATCTAAAGGATAGATAAGTTTACCCGGTTCGTATCTAAATTCACAGAATAACAGGCATCTGACTTGAAACACGCACATGCATACTCTGGCTGGGTTCACATATTTAGAGGCGCTAAACCCTCCCTCTAACCTGGAAAAGTGGTGCAACAGTACAACATAAGAACAAATTATAAATTAAAGATCAGTTGAAAAGGGATTAACTCATCAGATCGATACAAAGCACACAAAAAACCTAACAAAATTACAAAAGACACAAAGTACAGATATGAGAGCATTTACTGAACGCTAGTTTCAGGGGCAATAATGATGTTGGTTTTAGTTAACATAACGTGCACAGATGGACAATACAATATCTAATATTGACTATGTATAACCTTGTAGATTTCTAACCATTATAATATTGACCATTTGTTACCTTTTTGATTTCTAACCCTTTTCACATTGAACATTTGTGACCTTGTAGATTTCTAACCATTCTTACATTGACAATTTCTTACCTTGTTGTTTTCAAACCATTTTAATATTGACCATTTATGACCTTGTAGATTTTTACCATTATAATATTGATAGAGTACGACGTAATCCCTTGTTTTTTTCTTTCTTTTTGAAATAATGCACTTTGGTAAAATACCACAGCAATAATTTTATTTCGTGATTCCTTTGAGACTGAAATCTTTTAGGTATATAAATCATATAGCAAATAAGACTTGTCGACATAGAAACTTAACTAAACTAAACAAATAAAGCAATCAGCCCGGCGCAGTATAATTTAATATATAGAAACATAAAACCTATTCAAACATTTAATTCTAAATGAAGAAAATTATGACAAAAAAGTGGACGAAATAAGTAAAGATAGTTCGGAAATGGCTACACAAACTTTCTACACTACGAATGTAGAGTTGTGGAAAATCTTGAAGTATACAGGAGAGGGATGTACACTTTAAAATGAAAACAAGTATAATTGAAAACAACGTTCAAACCTATGATTGCGTTGGATAAAAGCCGCAATTTTAATACGTGTGCATGCAAAACAAATTTCTTGGTAGAGGGGTCTAAATACAGCACAAACAACATTTTCCAAAAGACCTAAAAAGTGAAAAAGTATATTTCAACAAAACGCATTTGACTAGCAGGTCGAACAACGGATGTTCTTAAACCCTGCTGACTGCCATTGGCGATTGCAAAATAAACGGATCACCAGATGTAACAAAATGGATCTTAACTATTAATTTAATACCAAACAGAAAACAATAAACTTGCGGAAAAGATGGTATATCGCAAACAAAAGGTGCAAAAATTAGTACACCATATTAATGTCTCTTCAAAGATGTTAGGTACAAAAATGGTAATTGGAAGGCCATATAATTTGCCTCAATTTAGGATAGACTCTTGAATTTTGAAGAGTCGAAATAGGGAGAACGGATCATATAAACCCGAAGGCAAATATAATACAAGCCCAAACGAAAAAATATAAACAAGTCTAAATTGAAAACAACGTTCAAACCTATGATTGCGTTGGATAAAAACCGCAATTTTTATACGTGTGCATGCAAAACAAATTTCTTGGTAGAGGGGTCTAAGTACAGCACAAACAACATTTTCCAAAAGACCTAAAAAGTGAAAAAGTATATTTCAACAAAACGCATTTGACTAGCAGGTCGAACAACGGATGTTCTTAAACCCTGCCGACTGCCATTGGCGATTGCCAAATAAACGGATCACCAGATGTAACAAAATGGATCTTAACTATTAATTTAATACCAAACAGAAAACAATAAACTTGCGGAAAAGATGGTATATCGCAAACAAAAGGCGCAAAAATTAGTACACCATATCCGGATTTCGACAATTAATGTCTCTTCAGTGATGTTAGGAATCGAAATGGTATTTGGAAGGCCATATAATTTACCTCAATTTAGGATAGACTCTTTAAAATGAAAATATATAATAAAAACAATAATATTCATTTTAGAACTTTTTTCTGTACAGAAGTCGGGAACTGTCTTACCTTTAGAGCTATTTTCTTATTGCTTGTAGTTTAAAGTTTTAGTTGGCTTGCTTGCTTTGTTTGTATAAATATTTGCTCATACATTGTTATTAAGATTGACATCTGCAATCAATAGATAGGCGGGGCTTCAGCTTGTATACATTATACTCTACATTATACTTAACATCCAATAACATTTAAGTATAATGTATACAAAAAGCCTCGTCTATCTATTGATTGCAGATGTCAATCTTAATTATAATGCTTGAGAAAACATTTATACAAACAAAACAAGCGAGCCGATCAAATCTTTAAACAACAAGCATTAGGAAAATAGCTCTAAGACAACAAGATACTGATGCGTTAAAAACAGTTGATATTTTTTTTTGTATGAA